CGCACGTTTACCTCACAGTTGTCATGTTTGTGTTTTTAATCCTGGCTCCAGCCTTCCTGCGTGGAGTTTGCATATGACTGCGCTTAGGTGGCTTTCCTCCACAAACGGGCATGTCGGGTTCATTGAAGATTGTAAATTCTCCGCCGGTGTTAATGGCTGCGCTCTGCGATTGGCTTGCAACCAGCGCAGGGCGGACCCCGTTACTCGCAGCGCGTCCTCCTGGCCAGCCTCCATCCGGAGGACAGGCCAAGCTCTTGGTGATCAGTGAGTCAGACGTCATGCCCGGCCACAAGTATTTGATGGAATCGAAATTATAGTTTGTATAAAAGTCAGTTCTTGATTTTTGCCATTTTTAGCCACTGACTAAAACCGACACCTCTGAATGGTGAGCAGATGTGCGTCTCTTGAGTTTCATCTCCATGCCAATGTTCACTCATAAGCGCAGCAAACATGTGAGATGTGCGTATGATAATGATGGTACTCGGAATATTGTATCACGGATGCATGCGGTATAAACCAACGCACACGCCATTAAAGGACAGGGACTTCTTGTGTTGCTGACAGGAGGTTCGAATGGGGATCGGGAGTAGAAAATTTGACCTAAAATTTTGCCTTTACGTTTTATATTTAGATATTTTTTTGAACATTGGAATACCCTGGGGCAGAAGGCATTGGCGGTTCCACTCTTTGTGTGTTTTGGAGCAGCCTTGCATTGCAGTGAATCTTTCTCACTCAAGAATTCAGTGAGCGTTGCACATTTGTGATCTCTTCTTCTTCTTGGCCGCCACAGAAATAGCCTCTTGTTCCCTGGCGGCGATCACAGGCCTCCTCCTTTTAATACACGGCAGCACATCCTTGTAGCCTGCAGCTCACTGTGCACCTTGAACATCACGTTTTGCAGCTGATGTCATGACAAACGGAGTCGTATGATGACATCGCTTGAGATGTTTGGAACATTTTTTTAAAAACAAGCCTTCAAAGTAAGTTGGGAAGCTGACTGCCGCCGCGACCTTCCTCATGAAGAAAATGTATGGCGCGAGATTCCCCGACGTTGCTTAGCAACCTGACTGATCAACTCGTACAAATATTGCTGTCCATGGTGGCTGAAATTGTCTCTGACTTTCCAAAGTGAGCCTCCCAGACGAAGCTCAGCCGAAAATATGAATTGGCAAAGTCGACGATTTCGACAATCATCCGTAACGGCAACAAAATTACGGCAGAGTTCGAGGCTGACATATTGAAAGATGATCGTCAACGGCTTTGGGGCGCGGCACATCCTGAACTAGAGAAGAATTACTTTTGTAAATGGTTACGATGAATGACCGTTGTTATGTACAGATTTGTTCTGTCGCTCGAGGTATGTTGTCACGAGGTCCGACTGTACCGTCCACTGGTGTGAATGTGAGTATAAATGGCACGTCTCCCAGCCGTATCCAGGGTCGAGGGGTCCGACCACATCTTTTCACTCGAAAACAATCCCCAAATATTCCACCCATCCTGTGTCTTGAGACAGAGCAAATGGCGCAGATTGCTCCCGCTTACTTCCTGCGAAATGAATGTGCCCATCACACAGACGAGATGCACAAATTAAATTGGGAGCCTGTTCTCTCTCTCAAGTCATTTGAGCGTCAAAACATTCTTATCGGAATGCAAAGTATAATCCCTTCCTCTCTCAATGATCTCACCTTGCTGAGATTGCCCATTTTCTTTGCGCTCCTTATCGCTCATTTTTCCCTGGCAGAACTCCTGTGCCAGGCGGGCCACTCTGATTGGAAAAGCTTATCAGCAAAATACACATTTGATTCCAATTGTTTGCCTAAAATGAGGGCTCATTTTAGACTCGTTGGCTGATGTTCGTCTGACAAATTCCAGAGTTTCGAGAATACATTTACTTTTGGAAAGATAGTAATATAGATGTCATCTTTTTGTAATTGAAAAAAAAAAACAACTCCGCACTGGATTTCAATATATATATATATATATATATATATATATATATTTCCTGCTGCATATTTTGGATTGGCCTGCAGAATAAAAAGTAAGATCTTGCTTCACTTAAAAAGAAGCAGTCAGTATACCATTCAAGGAATTGCAGAGAAATGGAGCAAAAAAAAAAAAAAACTTGATCTTAAGCCAGATTTGTTATTTGCATGGGAAGCTGCTGGATATACTCGATAGCGTTCCTGCTTGTTGTGCAGAGAAAATGGAGCAAAAAAAAAAAAAAAAGGCCTGATACATGATCTTAAGCAAGATTTGTTATTTGCATGGGGAGCTGCTGGATATACTCGATAGCGTTCCTGCTTGTTGTCTTTTGAGAAATGCTTCGTATCTAATATGCGCTCTACATCATCCACCCCACGCTTCAGAGGAACCAGCAAGTACAAAAGCCAATTAAAGCATTGCCTCATTTGTGCTAAAGTTGGAGTTGAAACTTTTATGACTTTATATGTCTTAATGAGCCCAGGCCCAATAGTTACCCCAGGGCTCTTGGCTGGCGTGTTGATCTAAGTGCTTTGATAAAAAAAGAAAGGAAAAAAACTGATAGCCTCCAGCTTAGTGGTCCTTTGTATTAAAAACATTTGACACACATCCTGAGCTTGTCACACGAGTTCCCGTCCTCATTTTATCCCCGGTGCACATACTCCTCCTCTCTCCCAACCAGCCCGACTGTGACAACACTGAATTTCTGTAGTGCAGTTTTTAGTGCAGGGTGTCACTGCCCCATTCATCATGATGGTGTAATATGTGCAACACAAGATCAACTTCTTTTTTGTGTGCGTGCTCATAACCCTTGTAGGTAGGTAGGGGAATTCAGATCAGCTACTGCGCCTTCGACTGCTTACACAATTTCAGAGCATATCATCTAGTCTCACAAAAATTGATAATTCTATTTCATTTTCTATTCTTTCCTGTATTAATAACAAGCACTTAGAGAGGCAGCACGAGCATGGTCTTTTGAAATGGATTGGGCACTTACGAAGCTTCTCATTTGGAGCCTCTTTCGGTCATGATATGACTCTCTGGGCAGGAACAACAAGAAAGAGCTTTTGTAGCAGGCGCGCACCGGAAATCAAAGCAACATTTTGAAATTGCGCTGTTATAGCTGTCGGAGAGCCCGCGATCAATTCACAATTGCCAAGTGCTTTATCATTTTTTTTCCCAGTTATACTCCTCAAAGTAGAGCCTATCCAAGATCAATTTCGAAACACACACACGCACGCAATCAGAGGCTGTTAAATCTGTATTCTTTATATCTCAGGCACACTAGCTTGGCCATGATATGTTATGCATTGATGCTGTACATCCTAACTGTACTCGTATTGGTTCATCTCTAATAATAATAATAACACCAATAACAATCATCATCCCATTTTTGAGAGTAATGTACTGTACACCCTCAAGATTTCAGCACCATGGACAGCATAGACTCGAGAACCGTGTGTTCACTTGGGTCCCAGAACAAATCAAATCATATAAAGCAGAGTGAAAGGATGTGAAACCACTAAAAGGTCAAACCAGGTTCACCACACAAGCCCTTTAGACTTCTACGCTGTTGGGGGCTTTCAAGGGCTCTCGCATGTTTGTTTTTTTTTTTTTTTTTTTTTTTTTTTTTTTTTTTTTAAGCCAAAGTGCAAAGTTCACGCACGACAATCAAAATCTCTGCCGCGACTCCACTTTGTCCATTTTATAGCTCCGTCTCCGCTTTAATGACCCACTGTGAACATTTCGAACTGCGCGGATGTTAGCGCTGGCTGACTGGCTGCATGTTAATAGGCGAGTACTCGTCAAGCGACCGTGAATGCCGATTTTATGAGAAGCGGTTTTGTGACAAAGATGAAATTTGATGCGGAGAGAAGCTCCGAAGGACGAGCCCTTCCTTGTCCTTGAATAAATAAGGACACGCGCTCATGTATTTGATTCAAGCTGATCATTATCACAACTGCATCTCGATGCATGTTACCCCCTAGACTGTTGCGAGAGGACGCCTGTATTCAGCCCCACACCTGCCGTCACAGTGCGTGAAACGGTTTGCTCATCTTGTTAGTATTCTGCATTTAATGATGCATAAGAAAAGCAATCAGTGTGCCGCGGGAGGATGTTGTTGAGGAGCAACCTTTATAATTTATTGATATTACCGCAGCAGCACCCCACAACACACGCTTAACATTCCCTCTCCTGAGCATGGCCGCATAATGTTTTTGCATGTTTGATAAAATGCTGTTTGCTTAACTCACGTTCACTGTTCCATCCAATATCAATGTATTGGAACAGCACATCTTGTTGACGACATTCATTGGCACAAGCCTGGTGATTAGCGAATGGTTTGGGAAATCCATGTCAACTTTGGTGCATTGCTGAATGTATGCACACAGACAGCAAATGCCTCATTTAATTTGTCTGTGTTGATGTCAGCTGCAGTTGATTAGTGTCAAGAGTCGATTGCGCTCCCTCTTAGGTCTTCTTTTTGCTTCCTTAAAGCTACTGAAGATTCTGAAATGAAGCTTTTCATTCCCTGCCGTTTTGTACAGGTGACCTTCAAAGTAGCAGTATTTCTGCCTTTTCGAAATCATGACCCTCATGCTGGCTATGCCTTAATTCAGGTGGCTCATCCTATAGTTTGCTGATGCAGTGGGGGCGGGGGCAGGGGGGTGTGCACAGACTGCTCTCCTCAACTGTCTTCTGGTGCGGTGGGCAGACACAGCCCGACAGGGTCTTCCAATTGGAAATTTCAGCCATTGTAACACAGAACCTGAGTGCACGGTGTGACAGAGACAAAAGAGGGCAGCTGGCTAACTCCTGTGCACTGCCGTTGCGCCCCTTCCCCTTGTTCATGCATTTTTAATTTGCTATAGCGCCACTGATTATTCCACGTCGCAGTTATATTCGATCACTTGACCAAATGCTCTTCTTTCCTCCCCCATCTCTTCACCCCCCCTCTCTCTCTCGCTCTCTCTCGCTCTCTCTTGCTCGCTCTCTCTCTCTTGCTCGCCCGGCTCCAGTGAGATGAAGCAGGAGCTGGCGGAGGAAGGCAGCAGATGCTCCATCCTCTCCAAGCAGCACCGTTTCAACGAGCACTGCTGCATCCGCTGCTGCGCGCCCTTCACCTTCCTGCTCAACCCCAAACGCGAGTGCCTGGACTGCCAGTACAACGTGTGCAAGACCTGCTGCACGTACAACAAGAAGGACAAAGCCTGGCTGTGCGCCGCGTGCCAGAAGGGCAGGTTCGTACTCATGCGCACACACAAACAGGCGGGAGGTGCCTTGGAATGGGGTGACTGGAGAAAGAATGGGACTGAAAATGCACTGGAGGCAATTATGAAAGAGAAGGTTGATGATTAAATGTGAGCTTTTTTTTTTAATTATCATCATTTGCTGTGTGGCTTTTATTGACATCCAACTATGTCATTTCATTGAAAGAGTTCCTCTCTTTTTACGTGCTTCGTAGTAGGTGTATGGGAGATGAGATGTTGAGATTGTGGTTAAAAAAAAACAAAAAAAAAGCATCACATCATGGGCTGTTTTGTTCATGACATTTCCTGGTCGTGATTCATGCCTCTTTGTTTTCCAATCACATCTCTGTGAATACAGTCAAGACTTGAAAGATGGCTAATATTTGCAGTGCGTGCGTGCGTGCGTGCGTGCGTGCGTGCGTGTGTGTGTGTGTGTGTGTGTGTGTGTGTGTGCGCACGTCTGTTCTGTGCCCCGATGCCTTTGGGTGTTAGTGCCCCCACTTGTCACTGGATGAAAATTCTTTTTCCATTAGCAGGGAGGGGTGTTGGAAACCCTGTTGCATCAGAGTGGAGGAATTCTTCTGTTAATGGGGGTGTTGATTTCAAAGCAGATGTCAAATTGGAGAAGTCACGGCGCGGGTGTGTGCGCTTAGGTTTGGCAGGATGCTGTCCAAAGATGTGTCACCCCCAGCTCCCCCACCGTCTCGCTTTTTTGACTTTCATTAATTTTTGCAGTGTCCTGAGGTAGCTCCGATAAACGCTTGTATTGCTATATAAGACGCGAGGTAAATGACAACGTAGGAGGGATAAGAAGATATTGGATGGAATCGGATGTCATTTGAACGAGGTGGGTAAAGTTCAGCCCCGCCCCTCACGCACGCCTTCGTTGGATATAGGCGTCTGCGAGCGCGGCCGCTTCCCAGGGGCTCGGGAATGTTCTCATTAGGGGTTTAGACTGGTCACAGATGGGCCTGATGTCACAACAGTGCCATTGACCAGCATCATGTAAACGGAGCACTTATCATTAGCGCACTAAGCGGCCTTAAATCCGCTCTTAGCATGAATTACTCTCTCCGAGTGGTGTTGTGTCATTGGAAATGACAATTTACAACTGCGAGAGTTATGTGCTTGAAAATATTTCTCTGGGCAAATTAGCACACTGACTGGAATTATGTTTCAGTCTTTTTAAATAACGACGGGACCGTGTGTCACCTCCTTAAAACGGAGGATTTCGTGATTTCATACACAAGGACGCGATCATCATAGAGAATGTCCACATTTTTATGAATGAATATGCCAAAATATGCAGAACTTTCGCAATATTCCAATCAAATGTGCTTTTTCTGCCCATCTCAACTATGTAGCACCAGTGAATTGCACATGTGCACACCTCACATTGCTGTAAAATAGTTACATTTCAGTGATTTATGTACATTCATTGCTATTAGGAGAAAAAAAAACATGCTCTGTATCTTTAAAAATCATGCCCTCCATACCAAATCCCCATATATCGCCCTGCATTTTTCAAACAGCATTCTGCAGAATCAAAATGTAAATCCAATTCCCAATGGGGCTGGCCAAATGGTTTCTCTCTGTCTGTCTGTCTGGCTGTCGCTCGCTCTCTTTCTCGCTCGCTCGCTCTCTCCGGCTGTCCAATATTATTCTCAGTGGCACAAGTGTGATCCCTCTAGAACAGTGGACTTGTAATCAGAGCTCACATACACGCCGAAGTCGCCTCCTCACACTCATTTGTAGGAGTTCTGTCAGAAAAGGTCCGGGACTGGTGTCACAAAAGATGTTATGAACTCAAACACACACACACACACACACACACACACACACACACACACACACACACACACACACACGCACACACACACACACACACACACAGACAGACAGACACACAGATGCATCCTAAGACGCGCATACACACATATTTGATTGAAATGAATTCTTTTAATGAGAAGCTTAAGCAGAAATGGAAATATTGATTGGGCTGGGAGTTGTTCCGACCACTAATCGAGGCTGGGGTGTTGAAGAGGGCAAAAATAGAACATGGAGAGATTTAGGCGTGAGCCAGCATGGCTGTTTGCAGATTGGAGCAATTAAGACCCCCACCATGTCATATCGACCACTAGCGGCACACACAAGCTGGGATGTATTTTTTTTATTTTTTGGGGGGAGAATTTGAGGACTCCGCTATCCAACCCCCACCTTCCGTTTAGGCCCCAAGCTACAAGCAGCCGCGGAACCGTTAAAGGGAAAGAGCAGATGATTAAGAGAGATGAGTGCCGGAGGTCGAGAGGGAGAGGGCAGGAGGAAGAAAGGGCAGCAGGATAGGGAAGGACGTGTGTCCTAATTAGGAACACATTTATGAAAAATAGCCGTTTCTTTTTCCTCTGCTGACATTTCTGGTTGTTTCATCTACTTATAGTTTCTATTTTGAATTGCTTTCCTGTCTTTACCCACTTAGCAATGTCCCAAATTCGACATATTTACATTTACAGTGCCTGCGCGTGTGTTTAATCTGCAGAAAAGGATGACTTTGCGCCTGCATATGGGCCATGAAATAATCACATTTGTGTGTGTGCGTGCGCGTGTGCACACGCGTGTGTGCGTGTGACAGACTCACAAGTCCCACATCAGTGTGACATGAATGAACCGACAGAGCCAGCGTGACCCTGCCATGATGGTTGTAACTCAATAACTGTCGTACACAAGACAGCACGCTAATGAAATAAAGTTTTCTGGTTAGAGACGCCTTATTTTCATGGCTGAGTACTGTGGATGCGAGTTCTTTGTACTCAAGTCAATCAACACCCAAAGGCACATTTTGGTGCGCCAGTTAGTTGACTTGTCCATGAGGCCCCATCAACATCTTACCGCCTGTTATCATTATATGAACCAACTGTTTGTAGCGCTGTCTCGATCCGGCCATATCTTAATCCGGCCATATTTTATTCCTGTGACAGCCAGTAACCTTTGCTCATATGTGCAGCCAAACTTTGAGGAGTCACCGGCGCACACAGGGCTCAACACAGACTCACGGGTCTTTCGGCTGCTCTTAAAAGCAACACAGCCCAAGCAAGCTCATTTTCTCTTCCGCTACCTTGTTCGCCTGTTTGACCAAATAGTGCGGCGCAATTCTCCTGCCCCAAAACAAGTACGTATAAAAGTTTGATTAGTTTTGTTTTGAATGACTGAAGAAGATAAAACATCATGCCTGTAGTTATTTTCAAGGTATTCCCCATCCGTTCTCTTCACCTGCCTGCATATTGCATTATCTACTGAAGCATCCCAGAAGGATTCTACTACCGCTGCCTGTGTCGTCGTTTCTTTCGACACTCCTGGTAAGAGCCTCCATGAACTCTCTGCCTGCCTGCCTGCCCGCAGACAAGCACCTGCAGCTATGAGAGGTGGGATGGTCTTTTTTTTTTTTTTTTTTTTGGTCATCCTTCAGGGAGTATTTTTATCGGAGCCAGCAAGCACGACTGCGCTCTCGAAGGGAGGCTGTGCCCTACGGCAACACAATGCAGGCACCGCCCACGTCTCAACTTTAATAATTTACATGTCTGTGTCTCACCGTTTGCTTGCCTCGTGTTTTTACTTTCAGGCTATTTACACTTGCGTCGACGGAGGGAAAACAAGCAAACAATGCAGCCCGATGGGGGCTGATGCCACCCAGAGCATCCAGTGTGGAATTTTTATAAACAATTAGAGGGTGCATCCGAAGAATTGCATACCATTAGATGGGTCGCGGTGCAGGTTAACACCAACCACGATCGTGCCGTTAAAGTAGTTAGAGCGTAGGATGGCGATGTGGAGATGAGGAAGATTTAAAAAAAACAAAAAAAAAAACAAGCAGAACAGAGAACGCAGATGTAGAGGAATGACTCCCTGGACACATGGAAGATTTGCGCAAAATGTTGAGCGCTGATTTATCTGATTTATCGATCGACAGATGAATTATTAGATGGAAATGTGTTGGTTGACGAGTTGCTGACTGAGGAAAATGTCAGAAGAGGAAGAGGTGATCGTCGTGGACCAGGAAGCCGCAACGATTAGTCAGGGGAAAAATCGAAAGTCACTGAAGAGGCCGTATGAAATATTGAAAGGCGGTTGATCCGGATGACATGCCCGTTGTGGTACGGAAGTGTCTGGGAGAGGGAGCTGTGGAGTTTTCGAGCAGGTTGTTCAATAGAATTCGAGAGGGTGAGAAGCTTGCCGTGTGCTGGTGCCTGTTCTCAAGGACGGTGGCGATGTGCAGAGCTGTGGCAAGTAATTAGGAATAAAACTGATGAACCAGACAATGAGATGAAGAGAGAAAACTTACGGAGGCTTTACTCAGGACAGAAGTGAGCATTGCTGAACTGCTTTCATGCCAAGAAAGAGTAACACAGTTGCATTGTTTGCCTTGAGGGTGTTGATGCAAAAGTAGAAAGAAATACAAGGTCCCAGAGATCAACTGTGGAACTGCATGAGGAAGTCTGAATTGGCAGACAACTATGTTCGGATAGTCGAGAGCATGTATGAAAGGTGTCGGGCAGCTCCGCGGTGTGCTGGGAGGGTACAAATGACAGAGAGTCTTTGCCCTTGTACATTCTCTCACTTGATCCTGATTTTTGTTAGTCATGTATGGCTGTACTGTCATTTCCAGTATATTCCAATATGGCAGGTGCGGCGAGAAGCAAAATCACTCCTCACATGTTTCTCCCTCACATATTTCTCACCCGCCATTACCCTCACAATCCAGATCACTATTTCCTTCCGCGGAGTTGATCGTAACTCCCGGTGGTGGCCCAGTCAGCCGTGACGCAAGATGCACACAGAGGATTGCTGAACAATGGCCACGAACATGCACACTCAGCATACTGAAGATTTAAGTTCAGACCGTCCAGGCATTTAGCTTTGATTAAAACCCACTTAAATGCCGTTCCCTGATTGATCGAAACGTAACCTGAATCCGAAGCGTCTGTGCTGTGCAAAAG